GGCCTGTCCAGCCCGAGGGGCCCAGGGCCTTCCCAGTCAGCGTCCCTGCAGGGATGGGTCCTCGTCACAGTGGCTCAACCGGGTCTCGAGCCTTGGGGACACGGAATGGCGTGTGGCTCCGGACGGGGGGCCTGGTAAGCTCGAGCCCGTCCTCTCCACGGCCGTGCGTGCCCGCCAGAGGCGAGCACAGCGGTCGCCCCGTCTGTTGCTGGTGGGCGTGGCTTACTCATCTGCAGGGGCGCTGGGCACAGCTGGCCGGAGCGGGGTGCCGGCTCCCCGCTGGGCGTGAGAGGCCGCCTGCGGCCCATCCCCACCGGCTGGGCACCCGCCTCGGCCACACAGCCTGTTGGCCGTCAGCTCACTGCGGTGCTCTCACTGGGGTGGAGACGCACACACTGAGACACAGACCTCAGACAAGCTGATGAGTTTTGATCAGTGTGGACGCGTGACCCCCAAGCCCAGCTGCAGCATTCCCAGACCCCAGAAAGTGCCACCGGGACTCCCCCAGACTGGCCACACGCCGGCCCCGCCAGCGATGATTGGTCCGAAGCTCCGTGCAGCTGGGCGGCGACGCGATTCACTCCGCAAGCCCTGCCCATCGGTCCCGCGTGTCCGGCCGTCCACGCCGCGCTGAGGAGCCACTGGCTCACAGTCAGCCACCCGTTCAGCCAGGTTCTTTGTGATGGACATTTGGTTGGTTCCCAAGTTTTGCCTGCGACGGACGTTGCCGCACGCCTCTGTGGATGTGCCTTCACTTCTCAGGTACCCCTGGAAGTGACATGACTGAGCCGGGGTGTCTCTGTGCGTTTAAGCTCACAAGGCCTGCGTTGTTCCAGGGCGGCGGCTGCACGGGAGGGTCCTGTGCTGCACCGTCCCGCCTGCGGAGCTGCTGCTCCCCTTCCTGCAGGTGTGCGTCGCGGACCTCTGTGTGCCCCCGACTGCTGAGGACACCCAGCTCCTTCCTGGGAGCTGACTGGGCCACTCATCTCTCTGCCCATTTTGTGCTGGATTACCAATTTTGTCTTGATTTGTGGGAGTCTTCAGATGTTCCGGATGCAGATCCGCTGTCAGATGTTTTCACACTCTGTGGACAGTTCATTTGATGGGCAGAAGTTTCATTTTAGTAAAGTTTATTTATTTTTTCTTTCATTTTTTAATGCCGTTCTGTGCTCTGAGAAGTGTGTGTCCACTGAGGGTCACAGCGACATTCTCTTATGTCTTCTAGGGTGGGGTGTCTAGCCCGTGGTCAGCATGTGGCCCAGGACAGCTAGGGATGCGGCTCAACACACAGTCATGAATTTACTTAGAACGTTATGAATTCTTTTTGTGATTACATGTTGCAGTGTATTTAACATGTGGCCCAAAACAACTCCTTCTTCCACCATGGCCCAGAGACGCCAAAAGGTTGGACACCTCTGTTCTAGGAGATCCAGGCCTAGCTTTAACGTTTGGGTCAGTGACCCACTGCAGGCTAACTGGTGTGTGGAGGGGGAAGCCCTCATTTGTTGAGAAGACTTCTTCCCCTTTGAAAAACGTGGCAGAATCCCAGCCATATCTCCTGGGTCTGCGCCTGGACGCTCTGTCCTGTGCCACCACCGAACACCAGACAACACTGAACTCTCCACGCCAACGACCCAGGCCTTCGGCCACTGGCTCTGAAGTCAGTTTTGAATGGGGTGTATGGGTTCCTTTTGTAATACTCACCTACTTTTTCAACATTGTGTTGGCTTTTCTAGTTCCCTTGCATTCCCACGTATATTTTAGAAAGCTTGTAAAAGTCTGTTTTGAAAACAGAAGCGCTGGGGGTTTGACTGGGGTTACAGTGAGCCAACAGATCGGGGAGGGGGGGCAGTTTGTTCAGGCAGCCAGCACAACGGAAGGTGTTTTCCCCAGTTCTGGAGGCCGGAAGTCCAAGTTCAAGGTGCCAACGGCTGGTTCCTGGTGAGGCCGGTCTTCCTGGGAGGCAGGGAGAATGGCATCTCTTCCTCGGACGCTCGTCCTACGGGATCAGGGCTCCACCCTCAGGACCTCATTCGACCTTGATTTCCTCCGGATGCAGGTCACATGGGGGCTGGGGGTCACAACAGCCCCTAACAAGAGACTTGAGCATCTTGAGGAGCCCTGACCGGCGCGGCGCCGTTGGCGGGGCGTCATCCTGCGAAGCAAAGGGTGGCCCGTTGATTCCTGGTCAGGGCATGAGCCTAGGTTGTGGGGCCCCGTTCCCGGTCGGGGCGCGTCCGAGAGGCGGCTGATGGACGTTTCTCTCCCTGTATTTCTCCCTCGTCCTCTCTGAAAAATAAATGGAAACACAAGAAACGGCTCTGAGTCCTCCTGTCCGTGAACGCAGAGTCTCTCCCTCTGCCTCAGACCTTTCGGTGCTGTCACCTGTGCTTCCGTTTTCAGGACTCGTATTTGCGCACGTTTTGTTCATCCCAAGTACCTCGTGGTTTTTAATGCTATAGCAAACATAATTTTTAACTTTACAATTTGTTCCCATGTGGCAACACGGAGAATGGATTTTGTACGTTGAGCTTACGCCCTGTGACTTTACAAAGCCCACTCCTTCCATCTAGTAGCTTCTTGGTAAATTTTAAAGTATTTTGGACCTACAGGCCTACTCTCCAGAGTCCCTGCCCTCGTCTACACCCTCTTCTCGTCCTTCCCCACTCCCCAGCCCCCAGCCGCTGAGCCCCAGCACGTGGTGCATGAGGGTGGCCGTGGACGCTGCCTGGTCTCCAGTGTCCGGTGCACAGTGTTCCAGCAGGTTTTCGGATCTGTGCTTCATCAGGTTGAGGACGTCCGCTTCTCGTTTCCTAAGTTACTGAGGACAGACGCCAAAGGTTGTCAAATGTGCTCCTTTTCACCTACAGAAATTTCCATGGTGATGATCCGGATATTCAGCCCTTGTGCTCGGAGGTAGCCCCACGCAGTGTGTTGCATTTGGCACATGCCCGGGTGAGCTAGAGATTTGCAGGTTTGACACACAGTGACGTCCCCTGACACGGGGCCTCTGCTGCTGCTTGCCCGATCGATCAGTCCAGGCAGGGGCACAGCAATTTTATAGGCCATTTCAAAGCACTGCTTTCAGGGGCCAGAGAGGCCTCATGTGCAGTGTGAAAGGTTCTGTGTTCTCCGAGGTGGGAGCCAGTACAGGGGCAAAGGGGTCACAGGATCTGACCTTCGGCTTGAGGGGCCACTCTAGTGGCTGCGAGAAGGGACTGGGGGTGCAAGGGCAGACGGGGACCCGCTGGGGGGTGGGGGCTGGGACCTGGGACCTGGCAGCAGCAGTGGGTGGCGGGAGGCGCTTCCATTGTGTTATGAGGGTGGGCTGTTGGGTGTCAGAGCGGACTGGACGTGGCGTAGAGGAAGAGGCCACAAGGAGAGAGGGACGTCTACCTGGCCGGTGGTGTGGCCACCGCTCTCACTGCAGATCAACCCACAGAGGACCCCGCGCCCACCAGCAGCCGCTCCCCCGACCCGTCCCCAGGCGCCCGCGTCCACGTCCGCGCCTGCAGGCTTGTCTTTCTGGACGTGCCATCCAAGTGCAGCCACAACATCTGGTCTTCTGTCGGGCTCCTTTCACTTACCGTGGCGTTTGAAGGCCGAAGGAAACACGTTTTGCTGTTCACCTGTTGGTGGACGTTTGGAGTTCCCACCGTTGGCCCCTCCAAGCCGTGCTGCTGTGGACGCACATGTCCACGCGTCTGTGTGGCCTCTGTCCTTGGCACTTTAGTCCCATTACGCCACAGCCCAGGAATCATCCAGTCTGCGGCTTGAGCACCCGGCGGAGAGGCAAAGCCTGCAGGGGTGTGGCTGAGGCAGGCGACAGGGCACACAGCCCACGGCCCAGCACAGAGCGCCAGGGGAGGGCCGAGAGGGGGCTCTGGGTCGGGGTGAGGAGTCCACTCTGTCCTGAGGACCCCCTGGGCCCCATAGGGATGGGTGCTGGGGCCTGGCTGTGAACTGTGTGAGCGGGGCCCTGAGTCCGCCTTTGGGCCGCTGGCCTGCAGCCCTAAGAGCAGGCTGGTGGCCAGGTTGGGCTGCCCGGGGACACCTGGTGCGCGCAGCCCAATGGGGCCGGATCCAGGTCTAGGCCTGGGGCTGTATCATCCGGACGCCGCGGGTCCCAGGCTGCACCCGGGGCAACACAAACTCAATGACGTGCACACCCCTCAGCCTCCCAGGAGGGGCGGGGGATCGGGGGGGCGTCCTGGGGAAAGACGAGCCCAGGGAGGGCCGGGGAAGGTGGCCCACCTGCAGGGAGGTGGCTCCCCAAGGAGCCGGTTACCCGAGGAAGCGTGGCCGGGCAGGGGTGCCTGTAATGACCACGCGGGCTCATACCCTTGGGGGCCGGTCGGGGACCGGACCATCCCTCTCCTCCTCCCCGCGGACTGCAGACCTTTCTCCCATCGGCCCCTTCCCACTTCCACGCCGAGTCCCACGGGGCCCGTCCCCGCCCCCAGGGGCAGCGCCGGCCCCATCCCGGCCCCTCCGGGCAGGGCGGGGCGGCGGCTCGGGCGCCGCCGGGAGAGACGCGCACCCGCTCCTACTCGGCCCGGTCAGCCGGTCGCAGGGACAGGCCCCGGGGACCGCGAGCCTCCTGCTGGCCGCAGACGGCACACCCGGCTGTACCCATCGGGCCGGAGCCGGCCAGCACCGCGCACGCGGTCCCTTTAAAGACTTGCCGCGCCCTCTCGCCTCCTTTTTCTCAAATATCGTCCACCCCGGACGCTCCACCCCGCCCCGCCCCCGCCGGGAGCGCGCCTGCGTACTCGCGCAGTCCTCTGCTCCGCTACCGCCTCCAGGGTCAGGACGAACCATTGGCTGCGAACGAGGGGGAACTAATAGCTGGCGGGCCCTCCGCCGGAAGGGGCGGGGATAAAGTGGGAGCAGCTTCGTCTGGCGGTAGGCCCCGCGCACGGCCCGAACCAGAGCGAGCCAATGACTGTAGCGGCCTGGGGCACGTGACAGGAGGCGGGCTCTCTTTGCCGTAAGAGGCGGGGCGAGGCGGACGGCCGGGTGGCGCGGTAGGTCCTGGGTGGCCGCAGTGCTGGGCGGGGTGGGGGTGGAGATGGGGGCCGAGCTGTGCCTTGGGGGTCGCGGGGGCGGTGCGCAGGGCCTGTCCCCGGGACTCCCCATCCTCCAGCTGCGCGCACCTGCCCTGCCAGCCCCTCCTTCCAACTCCCGCCCCGCCTCCGCTCCCGCGGCCCGCCGCGCCCTGCCAGACCCGCACCTGGCCACCAGGGGGCTCCCAGGCGCAAGTCCGGCCCCCTTAGGAAGTCCGCGGCCGGCGGCTCCCTCCGCCGCCCCCAGGGGCTGAGCGCCGTGCGTTCGGGCCGAGTGGTGCTGGCAAGGGAGGAGGCGGCACAGTCACGCTGCGGGGAAGCTCACGCAAGCGCAGACGTCGCACCCTCTCCTCCGGCGCACGGTGCCAAACGCAGCCTCTGCCGCGCCCACTTCGCGGTCAACCACGTCCCCTGCCGCACTGGTCCCAGTGCCCGCCCCCCGGAGCGGCTGTCGGCCCTGCCCGGCACGCGCCTTCAAGGGTTAGACCGGCGCGTCCAGGAGCCACCCGCAGGCGCCAGAGCACAGGGTCCCCAGCCTCGGTCCCCATCCGCAGCTCGGGAGCGATCAACAGTAGAACCGTGAGCTGCGAGGTCCGCGGGGGCCCCTGAGCGCCTCCGCCTGTGTGTTTTCAGACATGGACCAAAGGCTCTCCGAGTTGGTGGAGGACCTCACAACTTCGGGAGAGCCCCAGCTGAACCCTGAGAAAATGAAGGAGCTGAAGAAAATCTGCAAGTACGTCTTAAGCTTTAGTGTTGCGCGGCGCCGCTTGGGGGAGCGCAGGGCTTGCCCTGGGGCCGGCCTGCGTGTCACTCGTCTGCCTCGTCCGCCCTCCCTTCTGGCTGCCGCGCGGAAAGAGCCCCCGGAGCAGCACGCCCGTGGGCACGTTGCCCCTGCGCCGCGGTCCGCGGGTGCGGAGTGGTGTTGGGGGGCACACGTTAGGACTGTGGTTGGTTGTGTCCCTCTTCACACCCGTGTGGGTGACGAGCACATCCCTTCAGCGCACATGTATGACTTACACATGAACCCACGTCTCTCTTGATGTCGAAATATTCGACGGAGGAAGGTGAGACGTCACAGGTGGGCTGTGGCCTCTTGGGGCAGCAGGACCTGTGTGTCCATCCCGCCCTCCTCTCCCTCTGCAGATGGGTGAGCTGGGATCTGCTGAGAGCTGCTCAGGCCCTGGGGACACAGGTGTCCTCCTCCTCCGCCTGTGTTTGCAAAACAGGAGAGCTTAAGCGATTGCCTATGACACTTCAACTGAGAACTTTCAGCTCAGACCCCGTTTCCCGGCAGGCCCAGGAAGTCCCCAAACAGCAGGGGCCCCGGGGCCTGGGTGGCACTGGGTCCGAGCCGCAGCCACTGGGCTGGCAAAGCTGCCAGGGCTGTAAGTGGACGGGCAGGGCCACTGCGGCAGAGCGTGGTGGGCACCGACCCTGAAGCCGCGCCAGGTTGTCGTGTTGTGCAGGGTGACTTTTTCGACTTATTTCAATCATTTTAAAATGTAAAAACCATTTTTAAGAATAACCCTCACCTGAGAATGTTTCCTGATTTTAGAGAGAAGAAGAGAGGGGAGAGGGAGAGAGACCTCAGTTGCCAGTCCTATGGACCCTGGCCCGGGATCGAACCTGAGGCCTCTTGGTGCTCGGGGTGACGGTCCACCCACTGGCCGCTGGCTGAAGTCTGTGACAAACTCTCCTGGCCTGCGGGCTCCACAGAAGCAGGCAGGGCCTGGGTTTGGGGTAGCGAAGGGTTGAGTGAGGACTGGCCGAGGACGCACGTCCCGGCCCCTTGTGAACACCATCCCTGCGCGGCATCCCACCGCCCTGTCCTCAAGCGTCGGGTGCTTGCTGAGCACGGCTGCCCCCCAGGTCGTCGGAGGAGCAGCTGCGCCACGCCTACCACCTGCTGATGGCCCAGCTGAGCCAGGAGCACGCCGAGGTCCGCCTCTCTGCCTTCCAGGTCGTGGGCGAGCTCTTCAGCAGGTCTCACCTCTTCAGGGTGCTGGTCGTGTCCAACTTCCAGGAGTTTCTGGAGCTCACGCTCGGCACTGACCACAGGAAGCCCCTGCCACCCCCCCGGGAGGTGGCCCAGAGGCTGAAGCAGGCCGTCACCCGGGCTGTCCAGGGCTGGAATGAGAAGTTTGGCGCGGCCTATAAGAAGCTGGCCTTGGGCTACCACTTCCTGAAACACAGCCAACAGGTAGGCGGGGCCGCTGCGGCGCCATCTCTGTGGACAGGTGTCCCCGCCCCCTCGGCTGCCGGGCCCAGGCTGTGGATCAGATGCAGGCCTGAGGGTGCCCAGCGGGTGGGGGTCCGGCTCCTGAGTCGGGCGGGCAGCTCTGGGAGGGGGCTGGAGGCCCGTCCCGGCCTGGGTGGAGTGGAGCCGTGGCTCCCACGGGGGGGCAGGTGGAGCAAAAAATGGCCGTGGGGTCCGGCTTCACGGACACAGCCCCTCTCAGCGAGGAGCCCCCGCCCTCCGGGGGCCACCTTCCTGCTCTGTGGTCACCTGGGTCCCGGCCCCTGTGCTCACCCTGCGGGTGCTGCCCTTCCACCCTGCGTCCGGGGTCAGTGCCCCTGGTCCCGCCAGCAGCCTCCTCGCCTGCTGATCAGAGTGAGCGCCCGTCCCCCACGCAGGGCGGGGCTGGGGACACCCTGTCTCCCCTCGTCGGGAGGCACTGCTGGCAGTGCCCTCTCCAGGGACCGAGCGCACACTCCAGTGGCCTCCTTGTGCTTTCAGCGCCGACTAAAGACGCCCCCCGAGCCTGGCTGTGCGCCGCTGCCACCGTGTCTTCTCCTCAGCCCAAATTTGATTTTTGAAACAAACTTAAACGTACTTATTTTTAGAGAGAGGGGAAGGGAGGAAGAGAAGCACCGATCAGCCGCCTCTTGCAGGCCCCCCAGCAGGGACCAAACCCGAAACCTAAACGTGCCCTGACCGGGAATCAAGCCGGTGACCCTTCGCTTTGCGGGATGAGGCCCTGCCCACTGGGCTGCCCCGGACAGGGCCTCTTTGGCCCGTTTCGATTTTCTCCGTGTTTTCCTCAGTTGAGTCTCATTTCTGTCTCAACGTCTCAGGTGGATTTTCAGGACGTGAACGCCAGGACTCCGGCGGAGAGAAAGCGAGAGGAGGAGAAGCAGAGGCGCTTGGACAGGATCTACCGGGAACGGTCAGAGCAGGCGGCGCGGGAGATGGAGGGTGAGCCGCCGGGCCGGCAGAGGGCGGCAGGGGCAGGCCAGCCAGGCAGAGCCCCACCTGGTCCCAGGAGCCTCTCCTGGTTGGCAGCCGGGCCCTGCGCCCTGCACCCCTCGCCCCGCCGGCCGCCTTGGTGGCTGCGCGCCTGGGCGGGGGAGAGGAGACGCAAGTCCTGCAGTTGCTGTGGCCTGAGCTTCACCCTGTGTTTCCTGGCCTGACTCGCTCTGTGGGCCCCTCCCCCACATGCCAGCACTTGCTTTCTGGGAGCCCGGTGGGGGAATGGGCGTGGCCAAGCCCTGGGCAGGCGCTGGGCCTGAGGAGGGAGGGTCCCGTGGGGGGGGGCCCTTGCTGGCCACACCCTCGCATGCATCCTGCCCAGGGCAGCGCTTCCGTGTGGAGCTCACAGAGGCTCCAAGGAGGCCCCCAGGGTCCGCGGGATGGGGCGGACCAGCCCTGCCGCTGCGGCCAGGTCGTCCTTCCCGCGGTTACAAAGCCTCCACCGACCCTCCAGGCCAGGGCACTGGCTCTGCTGGGGGGCAGGGCGTCGGGGGTGGGCTGTGGGCAGCCTCCCTCAGACGGTGGGGCCCCTCGTTCTGGGCAGTGCTCTCCAGGGACGCGCTCAGCGAGCCACATCGCGGCCTTTGCAGAGATGTCGGAAGAAATCCGGGGCTGCCTTGTGGAGGTGGACAGCTGCTTCCGGCTGCTGCTGCCCTTTGACCTCAGGCCATGCCTGGGGGCCGCCTCTCCCGCCACGGCTTGCGGTGCGTCTGAGAAGGATGCCCCTCGCCCAGCCGGCGCCCCTGACCTTGGGGACGAGGAGCAGCCGTGCTGTAGCAAGTCCCTGCCTGCCTGCGCACGCCGTCCGGTAGCCGTCAGTGGGGAGGGACCGTGCTCTGCCTCCGCGGGGGCGCCCTCAGAGGATGAGGAAGACGAGGAAGAGGAGGAGGAGGAAGACGAGGATGAGGAGGAGGAGGAGGAGAGCGACCAGGAGGCCTTTGTGCGGTGCCACGGGCTGGGGTCCCACAAGTACACGCTGGATGTGGAGCTCTGCTCAGGTGATGTGGCCCCTGCGTCGCGCCGGCCCTGACCCCTGCCCTGGGGACCCTTGACGCCTCAGGCTTCTTGGGGCCGGGATGGGGGCAGGGACCCCGCGGGTTGAGCTGAGGCTGTGGGTCCCCAGGCCCTGCCCTGCAGCCCCTGCTGTGACCTGTAGGCGTGGCGGGCCTGAGGCTCCGGGTGCCCCAGGAGCTCCCAAAACGGCTGTGGGCTGCTGCCCAGTCCCCCAGGGTCACCAGGGGACGAATGACAGAGCTAAGACCACCAAGAGGGTCGCCGCCCAGGCCTGGCACCGCCTGCATCAGCCTGGGAGAAAGACGAGGAGTGGCAGCTCCTGGCCACGTTCGTGAAGATAAAGGGGGCAGCACTCAGAGCCTCTCCCCACACCGGGGCCCTGGGGTCCCGCCTCGAGGCTCCACTCCCTGGGCCCAGCTGCCCCCCGGGCGCTTGATGTCCCTGTTGGGTGTGGGTGGGGCTGGGCCCTGGGGGTATGTCCTCAGGAGGACCAGGGGGCTCCTAGTCACAGGAAGTCCTGGTGCCCCACCCCACCCAGCGCCCTGCGAGCCTCTGGTGGCGGGGGGGGGGGGGCAGCCAGGAGCAGGAGGGGTGCTGGGCCGGGGAGGCAGGGCACAGGCATGGCGGGTCCTGCCCTGAGAAGCCATGGAGGTCTCGGCTGGGTGTGCAGGGGGCGTCGGGGTGAGACAGAAACAGCCTTCGCTAAAGTCAGCAAGCGGCGCGTCTCCTTGGGCTTCAGGTTTGGGTTCCCAGGTGACCTGTGGCGGGATGGACGTGGGCAGAGCTGCGGCGACCTGCCCGGGGTCCCGGTCCCTCTGGTGACCCCGCGCACCCCTTTGCAGACAGCCTGAGGGTGCGGGCGGATGAGGACAACAGTGCTGTTATCCAGTCGGCCCAGGATGCACTGAAGCTCATCCGGAACAAGTTCCTGCCCGCCGCATGCCGCTGGGTCCAGGTGGGGCGCGGGCACTGCCGGGCGGGGCGGCCGGGGCGTGGGTGCCGGCCGGCCAGCTGACGGGCCCCTTGCCGGCAGCTGTTCACCCGCGCGGGGACGCACCACGGGCGCTTAGAGGCGGCCGTCGGCCTGAAGGCGGACCTGGAGTCGGCCCTGAGGAGGTCACGGGAGCTGGACATCGAGCCGGAGGGGCCGCACAGGACGGAGGTGCGTGCCGGGGCCCTCCTCTTCCTGCCTCGCTCAGACCTGGAGTGGCCCAGGCTGTCCCCAGAGATCCCTGGGTCCCTGGGGAGAGCTGCTGAGCAGTTGGGGCTTTCTCCACCTTGCGGGTGTGCAGCCCCTGGGTACCAGCAGGGGGCGACCTTGTCTTTCTCCTGGGAAACCCAGGCCCGGGCGGGAGATTCTCAGCAGGCTGTGCGGTGTGGGGAGCTTGGCGTGCCTGCTGGGGTGGCTGTGTGGCCGTGGGCTTGTGAGTTCTTCACGGAGGCCACGGTCAGCACCTGGGCCACCTCCGGGCTCGCGCAGGAGGTGATCTCTCCTCGGCAGAGGCTCGGTGCCGCCCCCAGGCTCGGCAGTGACTGCAGGGTCGGGGGCACGAAGGGCCCTGGCCTGGCTGTCCCGCGGGGGCCTCTCCAGGCCGCATGCAGCGGGGGCGGGCGGGCTTGCAGGTCGAGGGGGCGCCAGCCCGTCAGGGGGGCTGGGGGCCTGGCGAGGCAGGGACTGGCCACCGCCCGGGGGGCTACGGGGCGGGCGCCGTGTGCGTGTGCGCAGCGGGGGCCCCGGGGCTCACGGAGGCGGGAGCAGGCCGGGAGGCGTGTCTCTGCCTCTGGGCCCGGTGAGCGGAAGGGCGGCCGGCCGGGTGCTGTGAGGGCTGCAGGAGCGGGTTGAGGAGGCGCCGCCGTCCTGGGGGCGGCAGAGGGAGCGGCTGGGCCGCGGGCTGGCGGCAGCGCCCGCTGGGGGCCTGTTCCCAGAGCAGACGCGCCGTATCTGCTGCCCGCCCCCGCCCTGTGCGGTGGCCGCCAGCGGCCTGGTCCTTAGGAATTAGGGCCACGTTGCTCGTGGCCGGTTTTCCTGGGAAAGGCCCGGGGCCGACGCCGCAGCCTGGCCGCCCCCACTCGGCTCGGCCCGGGCGTGCGGGCAGCCAGCGGAGCCGGGCGCTGCCTCGGCGCGCGGCCTGAATGCCTGAGGGCCGCCCCCGGTGTGTGCGACTGAAACGGGCGCGTGTGCCCAGTTCTGCTGACCCCTGGCCCCAGGCCCGGGGGCGGCGGCTGCCCCCTGAAGGTCGGCGCCGCCGTCCCAGGACGGTGCCACCGGGAGCTCCCACAGGGCGGCGGCCGCCCTTTTTGATTTCCCGTTTCTCTGTGTGGAGCTGGTTCCTACGAACTGTTTTCCTTTTGATGTAGGCGTTTCTGTCCTTAAAAACGTCCGAGCCGGATTAACGGGTTTAACTGCTGGCCCCACGCGGTGGCTCGCCCACGCTCGGGGGGCGCCGCCAGGAGGGATCTGCCGGGGTCGGGGCGTTCGGCCCCTAGCCCCGCCCCGCCCCGCCCCCCCCCCCCCCCCGGCAGGGCCGTGCCCGCGGCGCCTGCGTCCCCGTACGCTGAGAGGCAGCCTGCGAAAACTCCCAAGTGCCTGCTGCTTAATTACGGAGCTAAGATCACCAATTATTTTGTGTTGTGTAATTAACAGAATAGTAATTTCTCACTAACAAGTAAGAAAAAAATAACTTCAAGCATCAGGCGACTTGAATTATCAGCAGTGGGTTTTTTCTTTCAAAGGTCGGCTTCCACATCCGGAGGGCAAAGGCCTCCACAGGGGCGCTGCCCTTGTCCTCGCCCCGCCCCAGCCCGCGCGGTTTCCCGAGCCTGTTGGCGCCACGGGGCCGGGCCGCGCCGCACCGCCCTGTGCAGGGCCGGGGGTGGGCCCTGCGGGCGAGAGGACAGCGCGGGAAGCGCAGGGCGATGAAGTGTCGCTGGCGTCAGGCCCTGGAGGCAGGGAACTAAATCAGCGACGGGGGGACCTTGGGCTCGGCAGGCTCAGTAAACAACCTTCCGGGCGACGCGGCCCCTCCATCACGCCGAAGGCCGAGCCGCGGCCTGGGGTCGGGGGGGCGAGAGCAGCAAGGGGTCTGCACGCCGCCCCCCGCCCCTGCAGCGCCCCCTGCCCTGCTGTGCCAGCACCTGGTCACCTGGCCTTCCCGGGGGCCCTGCGCTCCTGACGCCTCCATGGGCCCCCCCTCCCGCTGGGTCCCGAGGCCGCTCCCCTGGGGCTGTGCCTGGGCCCTGGGCCCTGGGCCCATGTGTCCTAGGTCTTCGCACTGGCTGCCTGACCCCCGGAGCTCTGGAGCCCAGCCTCACCCCAAAGATGCCCCTTGCACCCCCAGCGACGTGACAGGGCACCGGGCGGCTCCCGTGGCGGGGCCTGTCCGAAGCTCACGCCGGCGTCGGTCTTCCCGGCCAGGAAGGGAAGGGGCGGGACGGACAGCCTGCCAGGACCGGGCGCTGCCGCCGGCAGCAGGGGGCGCTCCACTGTGGCCCGAGCCAGCTTCGGGGTCCACGAGCTGGTGCCCAGCACCCGGGTCCTCCGCCCTCCGCAGGCGAGAGCGGTGCCTGAGATAGCGGTCTGGCTGGGCGGTTGGCAGGGCCTTCGGGGAGGGCATTAGCATATAAATAGCCGCCGGAGGACGGCCATCACAGCTGAGCACGTTTAATTTTTAGTTTATAAGATAGAATGGGGTTTTAAATGCATAGCCATCAAGCACCAGAGACAAATGCAGGTGGGAGCTCACTTGTCTGACGAGGCCTTACATCATTTTTTTTTTTAAAAGGGAAACACACATAAACTGAACAAAAGTGATTTCTTGGGTGAAAAGTAATTGAGATTGCGCAGCGAGTTAATTAGATCGTACAAAATTTATTTAACGGTCCCAGCTGTATCTCGGGCGCGCGCGGGGGGCGGCCGCTGCGGGGTGAGGCCGCGCTTCCGTCCTCAGATAATTAGTGACCTCGCTGCCCTACTGCTGTACGCTGATTGCGTTGTATATTTTAGCTGTTTTACTGCTTGTTTAATTACGATCGCCGAGGCTCATTTTTCTAAATCCTCTTAACTGTGGGCGAGAGTCAGTGCTTCGGGCCTCCCCGGCCTCGAGTGGGCTGGGCGTCGGGAGGCGTCGGCGCGGGGCGGCTCCCGCGGCCTCGCCTGCCCGGGCAGCGGGCGCACAGCCTGCCGTGGCCTCCTGTCCCTGGATGAGGGGGCCGGGCGGGGTCCCCGCACAGCAGGCAGGCTGCTCCCGGGGCTGCCAGGCCCCCTGCCAGGGCCTCCTGGGCCTGCAACCTCCTTCCTGGCGCCCTGGGGTGTCCTGGTTCTCAGCAGCCCCCCGCCCGGGCTCAGTGCGGGCCTCTGACCCGACCTGCGGCCTTGGATCTTGCAGGGAGGCTGCACTGCTGCCGCAACTGGCCCCCGGGAGGCCCACGGCCTCAGTGTCCCCGAGGCCGTGGGGGGACGGCCCGCCGGGCAGGCGGTGCTGCTCTGGTAGGAGCAGGCGCGTGGGGGGCCCGCGAGCAGGTCACGCCGGGGTCGCAGAACTGCCAGGGCGGCAGTGGCTTCCCAGGCCCTGCAGATCGGCTGCCACCCCCTGCCCGACATGCGGGCCGCGCGGGGTCTGCGTGCAGGTGCCCGTGCCCTGGCGCTGGGCGGCGGGGGCCTGGCCGCAGGGACGCGAAGGAGGGCTCTCCTCCCCGGCTCGGCGCTGGCCCTGCCTTTGCGGGGGACGTGGGTCCCTGCACTGACCTACGGACCCAGGGCCTGGGGCTGTGGGTTCAGTGACAGGAGGGCACACTTTTAATTGGGGAGGAAGGAGGTGTAATCCCTAATAGTTAGCTAAGCAGCTAAGTATTTTTTAGGAAATGAAAATTTAATAAAATCCCCAGTGAAATTCAGTGGTGGGAGCAATAAGCATAATATTTTATGAAAATGACCCCTATATTTAAAACCTGGCATCTATGTTATGCATTGTAGCACCCGGTCGGTCCACATCTACCTTTTAGAAAATTAAAACACATAAATTCTGTTTAGTGTTGGGTACGCGCCGCGCAGGCCGGGGCCGAGCCGCCCTAAACCTTGGGCCGCTTCCACCTTTCATAAATTCCTGGGCAGATTCGGTACAAAAATAATTTTCAGGTCCGTGGCTCATTGTTATTCAAACGTGATTGATTGTCGTCATTTGCTCAGCTCGGGAGTTAAGTGCCCCTGTCATTTCCAAAGAGTATAATTGGGACGTTTCACAGGTCAGCGGTGGAGACAGGCTTCCCTTTTGATCAGTGTTAGACTGATAACAAAAATTACAGTTCCGGTGATGAATGTCTCCACGCCTCCAGACGCAGGGCTGCGGGCCCTGCCCGAACAAAGTGCATTTGCATCTGATTATGCCTGCGGGGGGCGGGGGGGGGATCCCGCAGGTACCACCACAGGGGGCTTGGTGGGCAGGGCGGGGCCCGGCCGCCCTGTGGTCGGAGATGCTGTCAGGAAACTGCGTTGGGGGCCGCGTCTCCCTTTGCCTCCGACACCCTTGCTGGCTCCACCGGCGATGGTGTTCACCCGACAGGGTCTCCCTTCCAGCCCTCCCCCCCCACCCCCGCTGCCCCTGCCTGTGGGCTGCAGCTGGCGACGTCGCAAGCTGGGTGAGCCGCTCTCCTGGCCCGAGAAGGCTGGAAGCAACACACGGTGCCGGTTGGCAGGGGGCAGGGCCCTCTAGTGCCTCCCACGGTGGCCCTCTCGGGAAGCACAGGTCCCCGTGGGGGTCACTCCCCGGGGGGGGCAGAGGGAGGCTGAGCGGCTCTGAAGGGGTCTCCGAGCAGGGCCGGCCGCAGACGCCTGTTCCCGGGGTTTGTGGCCGCACCAGCCCACCCAGTGTGGAGGCCCGTCCTCCTGAGGCCCGTCGGCCCCACTGAGGGGCCCTGCTGCCCCCACCGAGCTGGGCGCTGCTTGGGGAGAGGGCGGCGGGCAGGATCCCCCTCCCCATGCCTGAGGTGCCCGCCTCCAGGGCACCATCAGCGACCCCACCACACTGACCCAGGCTGGGGAGGTGGCCTTGTCCAAGGGACACAATATTCCAGAAGTGCTGTGGTCACATCGGCACCCCCTGAGGTCCAAGTGGGGTGTGGTGCTCTGGAGCCCAGCTGAGCGGACCGAGCTGAGGCTGGGCCTGGAAGGAGGGGCTGCCGGGGACCTTGTCTCTCTGGCGCGAACCCTGCTCCGTGAGGCCATGGAGTGGTGCTGGCGCCACGCACGCAGGTCGCGGCTCTGGGTGGCGAGGCAGGCACAAGTCGGGCCTGGGGCTCGACACCGAGGGGGACGCGCGGAGCTGCTGGCTGTAGGGGCAAGGGGACCGGCTGGCGGCAGCCCGGTGTGCTCAGCCGGTGACGCCCGCGCCCCAGCCGGGGCCAGCCCCACGGCGCCCGGAGTCCCCGGCTTCTGCCCACAGCTTCCACACGGTCCGGGGTGTCTCCACAGATGGCGGCCCTGGGGGACGAGGACGAGGACGAGGACGACTTCGTGGAGGTCCCAGAGAAGGAGGGCTACGAGGCCTGCGTCCCCGACCACCTGTGGCCCCAGGGAGGTGAGTGGGGGGAGGGGTGCTGGGGGAGGGGCCGTGCAGACGGTGTGGGGGGGGGCCCAGCTGTGGCCGCAGGTGTGGGAGCAGCCGCTGGGCCCTGGGGTCGCCATGGCTACTGGCGAGGCGGGAGCCGCTGTCACCGAAATCCGCTGCGCTCCTGTGGTGACCGGCCCGCCTGAGGCCGCCCCAGTGGATTCCTGCCGTAGGGTCCGTGGGGGCCGCAGAGGGCCCCGTGCTGACCGCCCGCCGTGGCGCGGGGCAGCCCCGCCAGGGAAACGGAGGCCTTGGTCCCGGGCGTGTGCAGGGCGGGGCCGCTGCCCCCAAGCTATGCAGGGGGGCAGCCCCCACATTCTCCAGGCCTCTGCTCCCCGACGGCCGTGTTTGGGGGCAAGCTAGGCAGCGCCCTCCTTACCGTTGAGGGGGCCACAGACCCACGGCCTGGCCCCTGGGCACCTGTTAACTGCGTGACACCGAGCGACGCCGGGCTCAGGACGTGCGCAACTGCCTGCGTCAGGCCTTCCCAGCCTGGAGGAGGTTACTCTCCGGACGCCCTGCACGGCCACACCTGCTCCCGGGGCGCATGGGCTCCTCGTGTCCGGAGGCGGTGCCAGGGCAAGGCCTGCGCTGCTGGGGCGCAGGGCGCGGGGCGGGTGTGGACGGAGTGCCAGCGAGTCGGAGGGCTTACGACGGGACACCCGAGTGTGAGGACAGGACCCATGGGGCGCCACACCGGATTGGCAGCCAGGCCTCACGTCCCGCCTCGTGTCTTGTCCGTGCTGTGCTGTGTGACCGACCCCTCCCTGGTGGTCGCTGTCCTCTCAGGCCCCAGCCAAGGCAGGCACAAGCAGGCCTCCCTCGGGCCGCTGGGCCATGCCCGCTGCCGATCCGAACCTGACCTCCTGCGGGAGGCCTCGCCCCCACCCTCGAGGCCCCAGGGAGGGGCTCGAACCACTGCCAGGCGCACTGACCGCCGCCTGCGCCGGAGGGCCCGCCTGCGCGCCCCCTCTTCCCCTGCCCTGGCGCGCCCCGTGCAGAGGCCCTGGCGCTGGGCTCTGGCTGGGCTGCGGCTCCCGGCGTCACCCGCCGTCCTCCCTCAGGCGGCGGTGCCCAGCGTGACGCCTGGCTGTGGACGCTCCGCGAGGGCCGCGGGGACCCCGTGGCTCTGGTGGCAGCCGCTGCCCTCGTCTCTGGGCGGCTCACGGCACCGTGTCTGTGAGCAGAGGCGAGGGTAGCTGACGGCGGGGCCGGGTGCTGGTCATCGACCGGGCGGGGGTCCTGTTCCGGTGGCGCGTGCTCCCCCGCCGCTGCCTCTCTTGGCGCTCCGGCTGATCGCGGGGGGCGGGGGCGCGCCGCGGCCCGTCTCCCTCTCCGGCTGCGGGCGCTGCGGGCGCTGCGGGCGGCGGGTCCTGTGGGCCTCTCTCCCGCACGCACGCACGCACGCACGCACGCACGCACGCTGGGGCCACGCACGCTGGGGCCGCGGGCCCTGCCCCGGAAGCGGCGCGCTCCCTCCCCTCTGACGGTTCACTGAGGGGCTTTTATCTTCCCCTCAATCCAGGCGTCTGTCAGGGCGCAGTCTCTTTCTCAAATTTACATTTTAATTACAAGGCCGGCTCTGTGAGGTAAAATCAATAGTGTCAGGCGGAGGCCGGCTCTGCTCGCCGCCCCAGCCTCTGCGTTTCCGCGATCGATGGTCCCGCCCTGTCTGCCCGGACGCTCCGGGCACGTCGCTGCCACGTGGTCACCTTAAGCAGGAAAGGAGCCTGGGTGTCGCTGTGATCCGCCCGGGGGTGGGTGCGCGCCAAGACCCGTGCTGGGTGCGACGCTGTGCCGCGCGGGCCGCGCCCTCCCTGAGAGGCGCGCCCGCCCCCCGTTTACCCTTGGAGCGGGCGTCGGCGAGACCGATTTCCGACCACTGCGCAGGGGGCGGCGCGCGCTCTGTGCCCCGCGTGGCCACCTTGCCCTAACACGCTCCCCCACCTTTTTAATGGTTTAAAGCAACAAATCAATGAAAAATATATTTCATTCGTGTAACTGCGGAATTCTCGTGTCGATCCCCGGCTGTGACTGTGTCCATCCAAACACCGATGCTCCCTGACCGGCCTCTCCCTGCCGTGCGCTTGTGAGGGCGGCCGCACGTCCCGCCGGCGCGGCGTCCGAGGCCTGAGTGGGCGTCTGTGCGCTTGTCAGCAGGGCCGGGGACGCTGCGTGGGTGGCCGAGCCGAGCCCGGGCCCCAGCCTCTTGTCCAGAGCTCCCCGGGGCTCACAGCCATGCCCTCAGGTGGCCAGAGGTGGGTCCGGTCACCTCCGGGCGGCTCTGTCCTGTGTCCCCTCCTTTCAGCACGCGCCCCGAGACATGGGAGTAAACCCCAGGCGCACGTGGCCGAGTGCAGGGCTCCTGGGCCGGGTGCCCCTCCGGCCCCGGTGGAAGGCTCGCCGCCACGTGCGCCGCTCACCCTGCAGAAGCCCCAACGGCTGGAGCAGGGGGCGTGGCGGCGGGCAGAGCCCCGAATCCGCCCAGTCCCTGACCCCAGTCCGCGACCCTGCCCATCTGTCAGGCCGGCCCTGCTGCAGGCGACCCTCCGGGCGGCCCCCTGCTCGCCCCGCGGCCCCTCTCCTTCCGCAGGAAGCCCCGCCCCCTGCGCCAGTCCCCGCGGGACTTCTCTCCGCCGGGCCAGCGGCCGGCGTGGCGTTGCCAGGAGCCTGCGGGGTAGGGGGCGGGGGGGGGGGCGGAGCTGTGCCGTCCGCCCCCGTCTGCGTCCCGGGGAGCACCGCGGAGGGTGCGCGTGTGCCTGCAAGTTCCCGCGTCTGCGCCCACCGAGCACCCTCGGCCCCGCCCCTGTGGCCCGAGGACGCAGCCTGGGCAGGCAGGGCCTTCAGCGGCTGCCGTTCCCTGTCCTGGTCGCTGGTCAGCCTGCGCATCCTCGGCAGGGGTTTCCACGCTCAGAGCGCGCAGTGCCCCCTCCGGTCAGCACCGAGGCCAGGGCGGCGCCCACTCTGTCCAGGCTGCCCCCAGAGGGCCAGCGCCCGGGACAGGCTCGTGGCCTCTCCTCGTTCGTGCCTCTCCCCTAAAATCGTTCTCTCTCACGTGGGCTCTGAGCCCAGCTCTTCGGGTTCCTGTTCGCAGAGCCAAGCCCTTCACTGCCACCCGCTGTGAGCGGTCTCTTTCGCACAACAAAGTTTAAATGCTTTTAAACTAATTAAGCTCTTTTAATTAGTTTTCGTCCCTTTAATTACTTGTCACCGTATTTCAGGTTGGTCAGTGGTTGGTTAGTTGGTTTCCACACTTCTTTTGATTTGCTCTTTTTTTTTTTTTTCCTATTTCTCTTATCTGCTAGGATAATTTTTCTTCTTGTTTTAAAAATGGTCAGTCATTAGAATGGAAGAATGAAAACTCTTGTGACGGCCCCTGGTTATTAAAAGATCCCCACTCGGGAGGCTTGTCCCGAGGGCACCCAGCCACGTCCCGTGAAGAACTCAGACAGTTATTGCAGGTACTCGGCATGGGAGACACTGTCCACAGGGGAACGATGCCTTGAGGCATCAGTGTCCCCCTGCGAGTCCCCTTCAGAGCAGGCGCCTTGGGGCCTCACTCAGTTCTCCCAGTCGCTGTCGGCTGCGCCCAGTCCCTGATTTCAATGAGATTTCTTGAATCTCATTAACCATCTGAAATTTCTTCGCCTTCAGAGGTGATTTGAGTTTTGGAAGAAGCTGGAAGTCGCAGGGCACCAAATTGGGGCTGTAGCGGGGCTGAGTCACCTGGGTGACTTGCTGTTCTCCAAAAACCTTAGCAGGAGACGTGATGCGTGAATGGGCGCGTTTTCACGGTGAAGCTGCCGATCACCAGCTGCCCACGGCTGTGGCCTCTGAATCACCCGAACAGTTCCCGCCGAGGAATGTTCAGGCCTAACGCTAAATCGGATGCAGATTTGTCGCCCTCCTCGCTCGCTCATTTTGAATGCAGCAGCCGCACAGTGCACGTGCTCGCTCAGTGGCGTCTTCCGCCCCCCCTGACGAGTGCAGTGAAGTCGCCGTTGTTCACACATGCACCTGCTGGTCCACCATCCTTGGCTGCCAGGTTATATCGATGTCACGCAAGCCGTTCTCCTTGTATTAACTGGCTGGACTTTCTCTGGACAGATCTTGTGTATTTGCCGTCCACTGTTGGCTTCCATAGTTTATCAGCATCCGCACGTCCCGTACGCGAGCCGGTGGCCTGGGTCCGGGGCGACCTGAGCGCGGGTGGCCAGTGGGACTGGGAGAGCAGTGACTGGCTGTGGTGCCGGGGCCACTGCCCTCATCTGTCCCGGGGCCTGGGGTGGACCCTGGCCTGCGGGGGGCTCTGGCCGCGTGCGGAGGCGCTGCGGGCGAGGTGCCGGCATCGTGGCCTCGGCTGGCTGGGGGGCAGGCTGCCGCGGCCGCGGGCTGTCAGGGTGCGGTGCATCCTCACCCCTCGGCCGCCACCGTCCCTCCCCTTGGGGTTCAGAGCGCAGTGCCCCCAGGGCCTGGTGACCAGGAGGAGGCGCGTGTGTTTCAGGGCTGGAGAAGGACCCTGCCGCACAGGGCTGGCCGGCGAGGACGAGGACGAGGACGGATGAGGAGGCGAGCAACCCCACCTCTGTGGCCGCCCAGCTGCCCCCGGCCCCCTGCCCGAGCCCCAGGTGACTCCGGGTCCCCCGCCCCTGCCTGGAGCACGGCCTGCCTCCCCAGGCTCCCACGGCCGCTGGCCCCTTGCGGCCCCAGGTGTGCAGCCCTGCCGGCTGAGCGCCTGCCGGCACCCGTGCCCCGGGGGACGAGCGGGAGCAGGCAGGGGAGGGCCCGAGGCCCCAGGGTTTGGGGGGCGCGTCGGGGCAGCCGGGCCACCTTCTCGTGCCACTCCCTGGGGACCGTGGCGCTTGGCTCCCCACGGGGCCTCAGTGCTGCCCTGGGGCCCCACCGGGTGGAGGAGTCACGGGTCCCATGTGCTGACCCCCAGTGTGGCCGAAGGGGAGGGTGAGGCGGCGGCCGCAGGCGGCCTCGGTGCGTGTGGTCAGAGCATCCTGCCCTGTCCCTGCGACCCCTGCAGGGCACCCGCTGCGCCCGCCCTGCCCTCTGGGGTGGACCTGTGCAACCGGGGCCGAGAGCCGCCGGCGGTCGGGAAGGCCACCGAGTGAGTGTAGGCGCGTCGGGCTGGCGTGGGCACCGCCCTGCTCCCCGCCTGCCACCCGGCTCTGCCGCGCGGCCGGGCACCTCGGGCTCCACCTGAGCCGCTGCTGCTCCCCGCGGAGGCGTCCGGGTCGTCCTCCCGGGTGGTCGGGTGCCAGGGCCCAGGGCGCCTCCCCGCCCTCAGGCTCACTCAGCCCCCATCACCGCCATCCTTGTCACAGCCGCCCTCAGACCTGGGCGGGCTGGGCCAGGGGCTCTGCCGGGAATTTCCAGAAAACCGCTCCCCCCCCGCCCCGTGCCCGTGTGCCGGCCTGCGCGCTCTGGTGCCACAGACCGGGGGACGCGGCCCTCAAGGGCCCGGCCAGGCCAACGAGGCCCCGTGCGGTCCCCGCCTGGCGCCCCTCACCTTACTTCGCACGGCCTGTGACGCTCAGACCCGGCGGGACCTACCCCTGGCTGCCCCCCGGGGCGGCCCGCGTCGGCCCTGACGGCTTGGCTCTGTTGCAGCGTTGAGTCCCAGCACCACTTCTGGAAGCCGAGCAAGGCAGAGGAAGAGGTGGCCAGCGCCGAGGTCTCTGAGGGGCTGCGCAGCCGCCACATCACCTTTGCAGGGCGGTTCGAGCCGGTGCAGCACCGGTGCCGCGCCCCTAAGCCCAACGGCCAGCTCTGCGAGCGCCAGGACCGGCTGAAGGTGCGGGGGCTGCGGGGAGGCTGCGGGCGTGGCGGGGGGCGAGGCCTGGGCATCGGAGGGCGGGCTGGGCCCCAGGCCGCAGTGCGGGGCCGGTGCCCCCCGCATGAGCTTGTCCTGGCGGCAGCCGACCTTTGGCTCCTGGGCTGCGCCTCGGCAGGGCCCTCCCGGCTTCCCCTCCCTGCGTGCTCTGTGCTGGGCGGGGAAGGGGGGCCGCTTCGGCCACACGACTCAGGCACCAGGAGGCCCTCCCCTCGGCTCTCCGAGGGCAGCACTCCAGTGCCCTTCCTCTGGGGGGGGCGACGTGCGAGGGGCAGAGATACGACGGTGACAGCCACTCCACTGTGCCACAGTGCCCGTTCCACGGCAAGATTGTCCCCAGGGACGACACGGGACGTCCCCTCTGCCCGGAGGACAGGGCCCGGGAGCAGAGGCAGCAGCTGCAGAAGCAGGCCGAGCGCCCAGGTAGGCGGGGGGCCGGCAAGGGCGGGCCCGTGGGTCTGTCCGAGTGCCTGCTGCTCCCACAGGGCCGCCTGCAGGGTCTCACGGGTGCTCCTGACGGGGCTGTGGGCCCGGCCGCCGCCAGAGCCTGCCTGTCACCGCGGGCGAGCTGGGGTCCTGGGCTCTGAGCCGTGTTCTTAGGCAGACGAAGAACCCGAGGCAGGGAAACTGCCTGCCGAGCCTGTGCCCCTCGGAGGAGGCCCCGGCCCTGCCGTCTGGGCTCGGGCCCTCGCCGCGCCCCCTGCAGAGCCAGTGTGCGCAGTGCATGGGCAGGCACCTGTGTGCATGTTTTCTGTGCACGAGCTGCGGGTGTGTGTGTGACACATGTGGCGAGCGTGGGCCTGGGCGGAGGGCGGGAGGCTACGGGCTCCCGAGCCTCGGGCGGCGCCGCGGGGCCTGCAGACGGCTCCCGGGGCTCCCGCCAGCCGGGGCTCCCTGTTGCCTGGCGCGTGGGCCGGTTTCAGGTTGGGTGGGCGCCGGGCTGCAGCCTCAGCCCCGGGTGGGCGCCGGGCCGGCCGCGGCCTCCCCTGCTGCTGCGGCCTCGGCAGCAAATTAAGCGCCTCTTTCCCGTGTCAGCCCTGGAGACTATCTGGTTCCCGGCCCGCGGTGACTTGTTAACAACAGGTATGGCTGCGGCCGCGGGCCGGCGCTGGCCAGTCAGATGTGAAATAGCATCTCTTCACTAACGACAGTATCGATCCCGCCTCCCTCGCACACGGGGCAATTTTCTTTCCCCGGCGCTCACCCCGGCGACAATGCGCGGAGCTGCAGGGCCCTCCGCGCAGGAAGGCCGCGCGCCCAGCACCTATTGATTTTCTTCAAAGGCTTTTAAATTGCTCCTTCATTTTACTGAGATGCTCATTCCATCCCGGGCGGGCGCCGCGTCTTCCCGTTGTGTTTAAACAATCGCTCCATTCACTGGGCTCCTAAACTGTGACGCCTTCTTATTACGGGGAGATAAACTGTTTAGACAGTTTTCCTTAATCTTGGATTAATCGGCTCTGTATCTGAGCTGTGCAGCCCCGTTCTCTTCACTTGAAAAGATCAGCGTGGTGAGGCCTCGCCACCTGTCTCGGGCGCGCGGCCTCTCCCCGCGCGGCCGGCCCTGCTCTTCGCCCCCGGGGCTCCCGTGTGCATGGCGGGCGCCCAGCGCCCTCCTGTCCGCTGGGGTCTCCGTGGGCTGGGGTGGCCTCCTACGCCAACCAGGCTGGGCTGAGGCTCTGTCTCAGGGGCCCCCGGGCCCCCCAGAGCAGATCAGCCTCCGCGGGGACCTGGCGGGAAGCAGCGCTGAGCCCGGCGCAGGGGGGCCAGGACCTTGGCCTCTGACCCCAACGCTGCCCCTGCCCCGGGCCGGAGTCCCTTAGACAGAGTCCTCGTCAGCCCTGCGCGTGAAAACAGGCGCAGCCTGCAGCTGGTGACGGCATTCCCCCAGGCCCCGTGGCCTGGCCGTGGGGGCCGCGGCAGGAGGGGCAGGGCCTCCTGGGTGAGCCGACACCCTCGCTGCTGCAACTTGCGCCCCCACCCCGTGGACCTATCCGAAGGAAGCCCCGCCCACCCGGACCCCGCCCTGCCGGGCACACACGTGGGCAGCAGCTGGGTCGGGAGGCCGCGGTCGGGGGCCTGGTGGCGCCCAGTCCAGCCCGGAGGCCAGGACGCGGCCTGGGGACGTCCCGTCCCGGCCTGTGCGGGCCGCGTCCTGGGGGGCGGCGGCGTCACGGGGGCCGAACACGCGGACCGTGTCAGGAGGGTTGGGCGGGAGGCACCGTGGGTGGCGCCCGGTGTTTTCTGAAGCCTCGGGGTCCCTCCGCAGACTGGCAGGATCCCGAGTTCCTGAGAGACGTGGAGGTGGCCACAGGGGTGGACCTTGGCTCGTCCAGGGCCGGCGGGAGAGGCAAAGGCAAGAGGAGGCGGCACCCCGGCCTAAGCGACCTGAAGCGGCAGGCCGACACCGCCCGCGCGCGCCTCGCCAGGAAGGTCTTCGCCAAGTAAGAGCCCTCCGCCGGGCCCAGGACCTGGGGCTGCGGGAGGGGCGCCAGCCGAGCTCCCCGGTATCCCGAGGCCTCCGGGGCACCCCTGCGGCACGTTGCTCCCTGTGGCCGCTCGTCCAGGCAGCCGGACGGGTGTCCCCGTCGGCGGAGGGGGACAGCAGGCCCTCGGGGCCGGGGCCCCCGTGGGGACGGATGCCGGCAGGCTCCTGTCCTCGCCCGGCTGACCTGGAGGGGCCGGGCACGGGCCTGGCTGGGCCCTCAGGGGCAGGTCCGAGGGTGTCCCCATGGCGCCTGCAGGGAGGCCAGTTACCTCCCAGGCCGGCAGGGCGGGTCACGGCTCAGGGCTCAGCCCCGCAGAGCTCTGCCGGTGCCGCTGGGGCGGTGGGCCTCCTCCGCGTGCCGCTCGCACAGCCGGCGCTGGGGGCAGCGCCCGGGGTGTCTCCCGGCCCAGCTGGACCCGCCCATGGCCGTGGTCAGCGTGAGCTCCAGCCACGTTCAAGGCACCGCCAGGAAGCCCTGAGGGCGCTTGCTCAGGCAGCCGCAGGAGGCCGGGTCCGCGCGAGACGGCACAGGTCCGTCCGGCCGGCCTCTCCCCGGGCCCTGGCATGGTGTGCTAGGCAGAGGCAGCAGCTTCTGGTGCCCACGGGGAGCCCCACGGCTTCTCTCTGCCGACCGGGCCTGTCCCCCGGTGTCCTGAGGACTCTGGGTCCCTGGCCCTGGGCACGAGGCCCGTTTCCTGCACATCAGCCCTGGCTGACGGGTGCCCTGGACCCCGAGCCTGGGAGGCGTCCTCCCTGTGTTCTCCTCTGTGTGGCCTGGAGCTGTCCCTGGGGAGGGCCGGGGGACCGAGCAGCATCCAACAGGAACGGCCTTGTCGCCTTGGTGGCTCCTTTCTGGCCACCAGCTCTGCTGAGACCGGACACAGCAGCCCAGCAGCCGGGCCGGGCACGGACGCCCGGGGCCGCCGCCTCCGTCTTTTTGCTGCGTGTTCTTGAGCGTGTCCTGTGACCCTGGACGTAGGGCACCGTGTGTCGCCGCAGAGCTGGGCAGAGTCTGAGTCACGTGTCCTAACGGCAGCACTGTGCCCCGCCCCCCACTGGGCCGGCGGGGCCCGTGGGCAGGGCAGCCTGGCCCCGGCAAGGCCATCCCTGGGGTCCGGGCTGCCCACTGCGGTTCCCGGCCAGGTCTGAGCGGCATCACTGCCCAGCCGGGAGCCTGAGGGGGCCCGAGGGCAGCAGCTGCCCTAGGGCCAACACCCCCGCCGGCTGGGCTCCGGGTCCCAGAGCCTCCCTGGTCACACCCTGCTCCGCTCTTCCCACAGGGCGGCCGTGCGGCGGGTGAGCACAGCCCTGGACCAGATGGACCAGAGGAGGCACAGGAAGTTCGCCAATCAGTTCAACTACGCGCTGAGCTAGAGGCCGGGCCTGCCGGGTGTGGGTCCCGCCCGTCGGCCCCTCTGTCCCCTCTGCCGGGCACCGGGGGGACAGCACCTGTGGCCCTGGGCAGCTCCAGCCACATGGTGCCCGTGCACGTTCTGACCAAAGTGCCTGCAGGAAAGGACGCACCCGGGCCGTGGGGGCCGCCGCCGCCGCCGGGGTCCCAGGCCCGGCCTGCCTGAGGGGTCCCCGGAGCGCAGGGGCGGCCCTGGGCAGCGTGTCCCACCAGGGCGGGCGGCAGAGCCCCTGTGCTCTGGGGGGAGGCTCCGTCAGCAGAAGGTGCCGCACTCGACGCTCAGGATGGGCCTGTGGCCGCAGCCCAACTCTCCCAGCCTCTGGGGCGGCCGCTCGGGGGCCCTAGGAAAACCCTCACTCTTGCGTAGATGCTCTTTCAGCAGAAACACTGGGGGACGTGAACGTCGCGTTTCGTTTCGTGGGAAGCGTCGCGTGTCCCACGCACCCGCCCAGGGGCCGCCCCTTCTGTGTTTAGGACGCGGCTTTGCGAGCGGCGACTCGCCGGCCGGCCGTTCCCTGGCTCAGGCACGTGCCCGGTGCTGGCTCCACCCACGTCCCCGCGGCCATAGCCGCAGCGCTGTGCGGCTGCGCCCCGTCCCCATCCGAACCCCCGGCGGGCCCTGCACTGTCCCTGGGCCCCCCCGCCCCGCGCTCGCTGACCGGCCGTCCCTGCCTCCCCACTGCTGCATCCCCGCCGGCCGAGGTGCTGCGACCTCGCTGTGGGTCCGATCTGCGTTTTCTAATGACTAATGATGCTGAGCATCTTTCTTTTTTCATCCTCACCTGAGAACAGATCTATTGATTTTAGAGAGAGGAAAGGGGAGAGAGAAACATCAGCAAGCTGTCTCGTGTGCGCCCTGACCAGGACCGGAACCCCCAGCCCTGTGGTGCTAGGGACGCCGCTCGAGCCCACGGAGCCCGCGGCCCAGGGCGTGTGCCTCCCGGCCACCTGCACGCCCCCTTTGGAGACAGACTGTTCAGACCTCCCGTCCGTTTTCAGTCGGGCCCTGGGTTGTCAGGGTTCTTGGCGTGTTCTGAGTAGTGGACCCCCCGGCCTGCGGGTGTCTCCCCGTGCTGTCCTCTCGCCTTCCCGAGTCTTGAATCCCAACAGCGGTCAGTTTCGATGGCACCTGACACACCCAGTTTTGCTGCTGCTACTTCTGCGTCGGTGTCTTACTGGAGCAGCCGATACCTCATCTCAGGGCGTGAACGTGCAACCCTGTGTTTCCTCTGAAGAGTTTTTAGGTTCAACTCTCTAAGTGTAGGCCCTTGACCCATTTCGAGCTGATCTTTGTCGTGCGCGTGAGGCAGGCGCCCCGGGGGTGGGAACGCCCGTCCGCTGGCGTGGGCGCACACGCTGAGCAGCTTGTTCCCTGCCCTGAGGAAGTACCCGGGCAGCTCGTTGGTCACCAGGTGACCGTTAACACGAGTTGACCTCTGTCCTCTGGTCCCGTGCGCCAGGACACCCTTGTGCACCGTGTCCTGGTGCACGGAGCTTGCGGTGAGCTCGGCGTAGGGGAGAGGGAGTCTCCAACTTGGCTCTGTTTCATCTGTTTTGGCTGTTTTGGGTCCTTGTTATTTCCAAGGGAATTTTAGGATCAATATCTGCAAAAACAAAACCAAAAACTCCCCTGAAATGTGACAGGGGCCGCGTGGCTGCGTGTGCCGCTCAGGGAGGCGCCGCCACCCAAGGGTTACGTGTCCCCGTGTGTGAGCTCGGGCTGCCCCCCCCAGCCCCGGTCGTGGGGGTCGACTTCTCAGGGCACAAGTTTCGCACTTAGTTAAGTTTGGTCCTCAGTGTGTTATTCTCTCCCTTGCCTTTGTAGACGTAGCCGTTCTCCGACGCGTCTTCGGGCTGTCGGCCGCTCAGGCCCAGACGCACGGCTGCCCCGCGTCCTGGCCCCACGTGTGCGGCCCCACCGGCCTCGCGTTCGGCTCCGCGGGTGTCTCGGGGCTTCGGGGCGCACAGCCCTGCCAGGCGGCGTGGAAAGGCTGTCGTTCCTGATTCCTTCCGCGGGGCTGGGGGCCGGGCCGGGACCACAGCACAGGGTCGCCGGGGGGCGGGGCTGCGTCCGGTGCCGGGGCCTCCCCTGGGACGGGTGTTTTGAGGAGGGAGTTCTCTGTTTCCTGTGTGTCGGGGGTTTTCACGAAGGGGCGTCGAGCCCAGCCAGTGCTTTCCGCGTTTCCCGAACGGATCGGTGGCTTTTGTGCTTCGCTGTTGACGCAGCGAATTAGTGTGTTTCTCGTCTGCTGGGCCCGCCTGCGCCCCAGGGGCCAGTCCCACTAGGCCACGGCGCCTGGGGCACCGGGATCTCGTGGCTCCGCCCCACTGGTTTGCGTGTTTTCTGAGGGCTTTGCACCCACGTTCATAAAAGGCAGCGTGTGGCTTTCTCCTGGCGGAGGCTGTGTGCCGGGCGGGTCTGCGGGGGCGGGGGGTGGTGCTGCCTGCTCCACGGTGCCTGTCCTGCCTGCCTGTTTCCCCTCCAGCGCGGGGCGGGGGGGCGGGGGGGCGGGGGGGCTGGCCGGGCCGGCGCAGCTTCTGTGCCGTCTGGAGCCGTTTCAGCAGGTGCAGGTCTCGGGACTGGTCTGCTTCATCTCCATCGCTCTACGTCGTGGACGTGCAATTGTTCCTGGTATCTGTTTATAATCTCTTTAATTCTGTAAGGTTAGACAAAATGATTTTGGAAATTTGAGTTTTATCTCTCATTTTGAATTTTCTTGCTCAGCCTAATGAAAGGTTTATCAATTTTGCTGGTCTGTTCAAAGACCAGCTTTGGGCTTTGTTGATACTCTCTTCTTTTTCATTCTTTATTTCATCAACGCCCACCCGAATCTTACTTCCTTGAGGTGGCTTTGGGTTTAGTTTCCTTTTCTGGTCTCTGAAGGCGGAAGGTGAACGCGCTGGTTTGAGACCCGTTTCCTGCCCGAAGCGGAGCCCACAGCTGCCCCCTGGCGATTCCTCCCTTTACTCATGTCATTTGGGACTTTGTTCTTCAATTTCCACGTAGTTGTGAATTTCCCCAATTTTTCTGTTATTCGATTTCCAGTGTCAGTCCATGGGACCCCGAATACGTTCTGTGTGGCGAGCCGCTCCCGTGGCGGCCTGTGCGCGGGGGCCCGGTGGGTGCGGGCGGCCGGTGACCACCGAGGCCGCCTCCTTCCTCGTTGCCTCTCAGCGCGCTTGCGGCGGCCGCGGCCGAAAGCAGGGGTGACGTCTCCAACGGGCACCTGTGAGTGTGCTACCCCCTCGCTTCCCCCAGGTTGGGCCTCGCGTGTCTGGGGCTCCGTGGCGGGCAGCATGTGGTCAGGCCCCACCGTGCACGGCCTCCAGCCCGGGCCCCGGCAGCACGCGAGCCTCCCGGGGGAGCGGGGGTCTTGCCTTCAGCTTGCACAGCACACGAAGGCGGGTGCGGAAGGCAGGTCTGCCTGCAGGTGGCACGCACCCCCTTCCCGGCGGGCGCGCCTTTGCCACGCGCGGCGTCTCCAGCGACAACTTTTGTCTCAAAGCCTCTTCGGTAGGACGTGCATGTTGTTCTTGGGGCCCTGTGCACGGGGCGTCTTTTTCCATCCTTTCCCCCTTCGCTTTATCTCTGAATCCGAAGGGTTTCTGAGGGAGCGCACGCGGTCAACGTGCTTTTAGTGTCTGCTGTCAACCTCTGCTGCCAAGGTGTTTAGTCCGCCTGCTTCTAATGTAATTGCTGAAAAGGCGCAGTTTACCTGCCGTTTTCCTGTTTGTTTTCTGCACATCTTGGTTTTCTTTCTCCCTCTGCTACTTTTTTCTTGTGTGTGACGTGATACCCGTGATGCAGTCCAGCTGGAATCCCTGCCAGATCAGCTTCGGTAAAACGTAAAAACCAGGCTCCGAGGGCGCCCTGTTCCCTCCGGGTCCTTGGTGTCGGCTTTGTCTGCAGGCTACGACTTTATAGATCGTGAGCGTAGTTTTGGGATTGTTGCTTTATACAGTTGTCTTTTAAGTCAGAGAGGAAAGGAAAAGATTTACCAACAAAAACACATCTATCCTGTCCTTCACCCGGCTCTGCAGCCCCCTCACTGTGCTCTGCCTTTCTTGGCGGGATTTGATTCCAGAGTCTTTCCTTTGGCCTGAAAGACGCCCCTTCTGTGCCTCATGGGCGAGGCCGGCCAGCAGTGAGTTCCCTCCGTGCGGCTTTACCTGGGCGTGTTTCCCTTCTCCTTCACTTGGAAGAACAGTTCTGCTGGATACAGAATTCTTACCAACGGCCTTTTGGTTCTGATGCGCGGTCGAGGGCTGTGCGTGCCGTGCGGGGGTTTCCTTACCCCTGTGTGGGCGTCGCTGTGGCTGATGGTGTCCACTCGTCTCGGAGACCCTGTGCATCTCTCTTGGTCCTTTTTTCGGCTCCTCCGGCTGGACCTAGTGACCTGTTGTCGAGGTCTAACATCTTACGAACCCTCAGTGAATTTTCACGTCGGTTCTTGTATGTCTCGGCTGCAGAATTTCTGCTCGGCTCCTTTCTGCAATGTGTCTTTTTACTGATTTTCGCTATTGGGTGAAGCGTCATTCTCCTACTTTAACCCTTTAGACGTGGTTTCCTTCAGTTCTTGGGGCACGTTTATAGTAGCCGAGGTCAGCTCTCCGCTGCGCAAGGCCCACAGCCGGCCCAGCCACGGCCGCCTCTGCGGGGGCCGCACGCCCCTGCTTTGTGGTGCATCGCGCAGCGTGGCCGCCCGGGTTCAGGTTTCCCCTGCCGAGTGTCTGGGTGAATTCTGCAAACCTGGGTCCTTTGCGACGCCCACCCCTGAGGTCTGCTGGGTCCCCTCGGTGACCAGTTAACGATGACCAGACGTACCCTTAAAGGCTCTGGCCCCGCAAGTCTCGCAGTGTTGTGCCACCTCCACCCAACCCTGCCCTCCAGCGTGTGCAGGGCCTGCAGGGCAGCCGGGGCCGAGAGCCTCGGAACTCCCCAGGGCTCCTGAGACGCTCGGCCCCTCTCCTGGGCC